TTTTTGACATTTCGAAATGTTATAGTCTAGGTTTTAAGTCTTTACACATTGATAGGCATTTACTGATTACATCTTATCTTTTATAAAGATTCCAAAATAAATTTACAAGGATTTAAATGGGGTTATTAGTAAACTCCATCTAGATGGGGTTATTCCACAATTATGGCACACTGGGCAGACAGTTTCGCATCGCACTTTTAAAGTGATGCCTGGAAAAAGACCAGCAGAACATCAGACGGGTGTGATTGTGTACCGTGGCACATCAACAGACATTTTACGCAGCAAAAAGAATTTAGCCTGTATACCTTAGATTATTGCGTAGGGCGATGATAATACAAAGAGCTGATACGTTAAAAGAGATATAAAGCTCTCTAAACCGCAAAATGACACACGACTGTAATAGTGTTCAGCCTTACATAAATCATCGAGTTTCAGTTGGTATAGCAGCAGTTAGATCAAAAAGCTCTAGAACATACATTTTCATGTAGCACTTAGAATTAGTTTAGCGGAAAATCATAACAATGGTGAAGAAAGCATGGGTGGATAAATCCTTACAATCTTTCTATAACCATGATTTTTATTGCTTTCTCCTGTTGCGCGAAATCTATTATTTTGTCATTTGTACTTCCATCAAAATTAATGTTCGGCTCTTCAGAGAACCATACATATCGGCAGAATGCACGAGAATTAAATTAAAGATATGGATGATTAATCATTTTTATTGACAGATTTAATGTGCCAACTTACTTGCACACTTAGATAATACTTTACTGTCCAGATCATGGATCAAATAACAAAGAAAAGAAAATGATTGATGTATAATATGATATACCGAGTTCTGCATTTTGTATGGTGGCATTGATCTTAATTTGTTCACCTATCGAACCATACAGATGCGTTCTGGCCGCTTATTTATCGTTTCACTAGCATTACGCGGATATTTGTAACTCGATATTTAATTTACTCGGTGATTTTCCCAGGGTGTTTATTTACTTAAATATTCCCCATTTTTTGAAACAGGAACATAAAATAGAAGTTTCATAAACATAAAGATAGAATCAAAATTTCTATATAAAGATGAAAAACCCAATAAAAATTAATTCCAGGGAAATCCACGAAATATCCCAAAACTGGATACTCCAATACTGAAGTATTACTGCATGAACGTATTGCGGTCTAAAGGGATGCCTTTTCTTTGCATTATAATATTAGAATACTTGTAGATTTTGTGCAGAAAGTGTGGTGACAACAACACTGACAAACAAGATCTTTTGGAACCACCAAAAGTCAATCAGTTTGGATGATGCCTCCTCCCCAAAAAAGGCAGTTCGTTTTTTTTTTAAGCGTAAAATTTTTTTAGCAGGTGATTAATTAATTGATTAAAGTGACAGCACTGATGGCTTTAGCAGGGACTCCTTCATGAGTGAGATTCTAAGGGAAAGTAGCTTCACCTTACATTTTTGAAAAGCATTAAAATTTCATGGTTGCAACCTGGATGAACAGCAAAACTTAACAAACCACTCTACCCCTGGTGGGAGTTTTAATTGAAACACATAATTTTGTTTTTGTTCATTTTTCAATTTAAGTCTTAAATTGTGATAAAAAAATTCTAAAAGACTTACTATGGAAAAAATAAAAGCATTGCTGGAAGCAGAAAAGTCACAGAAAGAAATTGATCCAGAAGATGATGAAGGATAATTAGAAAGGATCATTATTGTTTTGAACTGAAGTGAATTGAAGCTTGGGTAGAGTGACGTCAGCTTCTAGAATGTATGAGAAGTAGAATCAATCTTTAGTTTTTAAAGTGAAAGAAAATTTTAGTTTTTGTATCTCTCCTTGTATGTTATTTCATATGCTTCAAATAAAGTGGTTTCATATTTTCGGAATGATTTTTGTATTCCTAGATTTTCCAAAACACCACGCATCGGGTAGATGCGAACCCATAAATTAAATTTTGATCTTTCGTTCTCAGCAACAACCTTAACACAATTCAGAATTTGATGAAGAAGATACAAAATTTGACAATGCGAATGATGAACGCAATGACGAGTGTTTTATCGGTAACGATAAAAAAATCTAAACAGAGTAAAAAAAAATCAGTGGCTAGTAGGTCTGCAAAAACAGTTAAAACGAATTTTGTTATGACTTTACCTGTTACTAAAATTGGCTGATTCGTTTTTCGAAGTCTTCTAATAGCTCTGAAGAAAATAATATCGACAATTATAACAGACAGCATGAAAGAGAAGTAGAAGTACAACATGCCGAATCAAAGAAAAAAACTTCGGACTCGCTGCGTTTTCTCCATTAGGTCTAAAAACAGAATTACCATTATAAAGTGTTGGGCCTGCAACAGATTCATTTGAAACGAACACTCCACAAAAGCTGTCAAATGTAGAAATTGTTCTTCACGAAACGGTAGAGGAACTGATACGGAATACGTATTTTAGTATAATTAGCCATGTCTGTATATATTTATAAAAACTAGAGTTATTTATTTCATGAGATGTTTTCTATTGTATTTTGGTTGTTTTATTTCTTTTACGCTGTATATAAACTTATGAAAAGGTAGGCTAGTAATATACATGTTACAAATTTACACTGTTCGAAAATATTGACATGAATGCCTATATTAAGGATATTTTATAATATTATATTACCCCTACATTTGACTCAAAATTATTCTTATAGAACATTAACTTATTTTCCCAGCAATTCAAAAGTATATGATTTACATAATACGCAGAAAGGGAACTTTGTTGTATGAATTGCGCAAGTGGTAAAGGGTTAAAATAACGTAAATCTAACGCATTCACCTTTAACCAAAAATAAATTTACGGCTGTTCTTCCCCTAAGGTTAAATATTCGACAACTTGATGATAAAAATTTATGTATTTTAGTGTCAAATTATGAAAGTAGGATACTGAGTCACAATTTTCCATCTGCGTTATGAAAGACAGCATCTTTTTCCCGCTGAAAGAGAGAGTGTTGTTAGGATGGAAAAAATACGCAATTTCTGCTGGATAATGCAAATTTCTCTCTCACTCTCTCTCTCTCCCCCATCTTTTTTTTTTTTAAAACAAAGAGCTTACTCTAACTTAAAGAGCTTAGGTCTGTAAACAATTTACGAAACAGCTTTTAGCAATAATTTTATTCGCACGAAGCAAATCAGACAAATATTTTATATACCCCACCAAATACACACACATTTTCTTCATTGGACGAAGGCTTCGTTTCAAGAATATAGATTGTGTCTTCTCTCTATCAATCCCCTGCTTTTTTAAATTCTTTAAAAATCCAGTTTTTGTCACCGATGTTTAGTTTTTAGATACCTCTTTTTATAATCTAAAACTTTGAGGATTTCAAATTTCATTTAATCGTTTCAATGCACATTTAACAATCTGTGGAAAGAATTGCTTTAGAGATAAACGTTTCTTATCACTTTTAAATATCAGCTATTAGACAAATGGGTTAAACTTTAGAACTTAGAATAAATTAGACTTTTTTAAAAAAACTGGAATTTTTCTTTATCAATACAGCTTCTTGACATAAAGTCTTGGAATTATCCTGTCCATTGTTTATTCTCAGGGAGCGAGAGTAATGTTCACTGGGAAATAAATTCCAATTAAAGGACTGGTTAGCGAACTTACTGCGAGTCTCAAAATATAAAACATTATTTTTTGTCCATTACTTCGGCGTAAAACTTTTACCTACATAAAATTAAATTTCAATTTTCGATGCGAAACTACGTAAATTCTATAAACTATATTAATCCTAGGAATTTTTTACATTTCGAATGCCCTTGAAATGTTATCAGTAAGCTAAACCCTAATTATGCTTAATATATATCTGAGAAAGTAAACGGAGGCTGTATGATAATAATTGAACATATTTTACTCAAAGTATATACTCAGAATAAAAGATCATTTTCTGTTTGCAAAGAAACAAATAAGGCTACACACATTAGTGATAACAGGTTGAAACCAATAACAGGTTGAAACAAGTTTTTTAGAAAGGTGGTAATTTCATTCTAATGATTCTACCAGTTATTTACTAGTTTGGAGGCTATTTGCAAAAAATCTCTATTTGAAATAACATTATAGAAATTAAGAATTAAGAAGCGCTTTTAAATAATTATAGAAGGAAAACAAATTCGCACTTTTACAGAAGGGCATAGACTAAAATACTGTGTCTATCAACATGTTTTCGAAAGCTAATTGCATGCTGTGTATAGAAATGAGAACGGGAAGTGCAGTTGAATTGAACTATTGAGGTATATTTCTTACTTTTAACTACCAGTTAGGCTCTAAATTTGTTGAAAATGATTTGTAAATTTATGGGTAGTTTCCATTCACCTCGTGTAATTAAAATGACACGCTAGTTATGTAATAAATGCTTTACGATAACATGTTATGTTAATGTTAACAAGTTATGTTGATCAACTTTTTATCTTATTATTTGAACTTTACAATCACTTCTACTTTTCGTTAGCTCTCACCAGAATTTAAATAAGATACGGCTGTGTAAGAATATTATTGTTAGAGAGAATTTTAGCAGCGACGCTGATCGTTGTGCTATTTCCTTACCCAGCTCTAAAATTTAGCATTAGTCTCCGGCATTTCGTCAGCTGAGTTACTTTCGAAATTAGTTTAGAGTATTTGTAAATTATCAAAGTCAAATGTATTTTGAATTTTAATTCACATTTTAGGATACCTGAAATCATGCAAGCTACGGAGCTTGCTTAAACCTTCTTCTGTGTTAGTAATTAGTCATATAATGAGGCGATAAGTGACCTGGCAATGTTAGTAAGGGACGAATTGTTCATTAAAAGAGTGGAACCCTATACACAAATTTAGTTACAAAAAGTTGATTCCTCAAGTGTAAATGTAAAATAGACGTCGGGATATAAAAACACGAATCCCATCTTCTGTTCCAATCAAAAAATGCTTCTGCGTTGTCTTTCAGATATAAAAGTTTAAATGAAAGGATAAAATGTGCCTCACCCTTCAATGGCAGACCTGGGAGCTACTCTACAACGGACGGCTCTGCTGGTCTCGCACTCCCCAGTCTCGTTATCAGGTGGCACAAGATTAACGTAAGGAGGTTCTTCCATAAATGTGATCTTCATGTTAAACTTCTCAGGGACTCCAGGAGGGGGTACTGGAGAATCTCCTGGCCAGACGATATCCTTTATATCCAATCCATCTTCAGTCCACACACCAATCTATTACAGGAAAAAGTATATATGGATAACTTTAACTATTATTAAGAGTATTACCTACTTTAATACCATAATATATTTCTTAATAAGAAGATAGTGAATAATGCATATGTACACTTTCTAATAATTATTTCATGAATAAATGGGGTTTGAATAGTCAAGGTTACAGTCTAAAGAATGAATCAGAAAAAGTAAGCTTTCAGGTTTTTGATTACATCATATATTTTAATATGGGTATATGACATTTTAGACTTTTATAAGGTTGTCTACAGATAATGAAAGTCATTAAAAACATTCTGCGCTTTCCAAAACTAGTCCTGAAGTTGCTGTGACAATTACATGAATTAAATTTTGTTACAAATGAAAACAATAGTATATACGTGAAAGAAATTGATTTACTGCATAAAATTTAATTTCCTTTGGCAAAAAAGCAAAATTTATAATTTCTATATGCAAGAAATTTCAATGCAAATTTTTACGTTAATTTAGAGTACTTTCATCACTTTTAAGACTTGCAAAAAATTTAATCTAAAAAATTACGTTACTTGTAAGAATACGATGTTCTGGAAAGAGAGTCTGAAACAATACATGCAGCATAAAATTGCACAGTTGAGAGGAAGCCTGCAAATTTCGCTGTGATACTGAGATAAGAAATCACGGATGGCCAATTCGTAACAATGATCTCCAGGCATCATTTACCCGAAGAACTACAATGGGGAGAAATTGCGAGACTAGAGGCAGGACAAAGTCAGACAGAAATGGGCAAATGGCTGAATGTGAGTCCTGTGGCTAATAAACTTTCCTCTACATTTGCTGTTGGACGCACGAAGGACCTACATTTGCTGTTAGGCGCACGAAGGGACAGAATCGCAACTGCGACTCAGCTCAGATTCTTCCTTTGTTGCGGACACCAAAAGGTTTGTGTCAACGTCAACAGTACGTAGAAGGATTCGTGAAGGAGGTGTGTAAGCAAGGTTATCAGCCATTTGAGTGCCGTTCAAGTTACGTCATAGAAGGGAACATTTGAAGTTGCCATGTCAACATGTCCACTGGACGGCTGTTCAATGGAATGCTGTTCTCTTTACGGATGAATCCAGATTTAGCCTCAAAAGCAATAGTAAGCATTATCTGATTTGGAGAGGGCCTGAAACCTGTTATCATCCATCAAACATCCATGAAAAAGTTGCATACCGTGGAGGCAGTGTCTGTGTTTGGGGTGGTATATCTTTGGGGTGACGGACAGACCTTCATGTCTTTCCACGTGAAATCGTGAATGCTCATGCCTATAGAGATGACACCCTCAGTTGCTTATGAGCGCCTTTATGCCGAGGCAATAGGTGATGATTTTCTTCTACAGGACGACAAAGTTAGAGCGCACGGGGTTCGAGTCGTGGCTGATTATCTTCAGCAGCAAACAATTCAGCGCTTGCAGTGGCCAGCTCGATCACTAGATCTGAATCCCATCAAGCATGTTTGGAATGCTTCGGGAAGAGCATTAGCTGATCTCAATTTTCCTTTACAAGCCCTTGCCACACTTGCGACTGCTTTGCAAGAGCAATGGCCTACACTTCTTACGGAACTGACCGAACCCATAATTGACTTCATTACTCATCGCTGTATGTGCTGCATTGCTATTAGGAGAGATCATACTCCATCTTGAAAGTAATTTTCCTATACCAAACTGACACATCCGATTTGTTCATTCATATATATGCTAATTCCTATGACACCATAATTATTTGGTAATGTTTTTGTGTATTGTTTTTTGTCTTATTATGTGTCATATACTGTGGGTCAGTTTCACTAAATTCTACATGTAACTTTTTGAGCAATCGTCGCTTTTGTGATTTTTCCCTAATTAATGATAAACAATTTAGTGTATAACTAAAGGTTTCCTAACATTTAAAAATTTTATTTTAATAGTAAACGGAAGTGTCTTTAAGATTTTTTACAGGTCCTTTGATAGTTATGGACATTTTTCTTTTTCTGTCTTTTTTTTATTTGAACTCTGTCTGCAGTGAGTTTTCTTGACAGAATCGATTTTCTTAAAGTATTCAGTTATATTGTATTACATTCCTTTTTCACTTTTCATAGAACGCCAATCATGATAGCTTTGAGTTTAGAAAAGCTGTTTTCAGCAGCCCAAAGACACAACACCCCGTATATGAAACATCTGGAGACTTTGTAAGATTACATTAAAATTGCATACATGAAATACTGTAGCAGTCGTCTTTATTCAAAGAAAGCAAATGATAGCTTTGGAAGCATGACTAGTAGAGGTTTGCCACTTTAATAATAGTGAGCCATAAAAAATAACAGTAAATGCTTTCAGCAAAACCTGGGACGTTTAGCAACCCTAGACAGATGATTTCGTATAGTTTTACTCTTTGAAAAATTCGGGTAAAGAATTATAATTTCTTCTCTAATTACTATGAAAGGTTTATCCTAAGTTTTTAACAGTTACTTCAAGTTAAAGCTCCTTTCCTATCCATACTAATTCCAGCTTACAGTTCCCTACCAGAACTTTCTACCAGAATTTCAACTAATTTCTGTGTCGGAGAGTTTCTTATTGCTACATAATGCTTTACTACAGGTAAATCAGAAAGAGTACGCAACTTTCTAGAGTTTTCGTTTTTATGTTCTATTCAATTATAAAGTACTACTGTTGATGATTTGTATCTTTCCGATAAATAATGCTGCTGAGTTTGAACTTCAAAATTTTAATGCCATGTGTTTCACAGCATATCAAATTGGAGAATACGCATATGTTTATTAGAAGCAAGAAAATCATATCCTTCAACCCGCAACTTATTTACACTCGATATTTTGAAAGAAAAATAAATTTCAAGTTAGGAGATGATATTTCTCTGTGTTTAAATTACAGCTATGTATTACTAGATATTACAGTTACGGGAACTATTTTATTTCATTTCTTTATATTGTTAATAATTAATAAAAATAATCAGAACTAAAATATTGAACTGAACAGGTTTTAAAACTCTTAATAATATATTCACTATTCCAACACATTAAAAATAAATATATAAGTATTTCAATTAAATATAAACTCTATGGAATATATTTCAAAATAATAACATCAAAGAAAATTAACCCAAAAATATGAAATTTGACATATTCAGTAAGTTATTGCAGAATATTTATCTTTTAAGAAAGGTTATCTAATATTGCTATAAGCATTATTTTAATTACGAATATTTCAGAATGATATATTGTTCGTATAAATTCCGTGTTCTGTCGTATTCAATATTTAGGATAATATCATTTAATTAACCTGCAGAGATAATCAATTATAGCGGTAACAGGTTGGCAATCTTAACTGACAGGTTCACTTTACCATAATTAGGTGGAAATTAATGAGGATTCTAAGCTGTCTGAATTGGATCAAACTAGATCTTTCTGAGAGCTATTTGTCCATAGGAGAAAGAATACATTTTCTCACTTACCTTTTCCCAGAATCCCATATTGTTGAGGTTCATAACTTCAAGTTCCACAAATTTTAGCGTTCCATCGGGATTAAATTCCAGATCAGCCCTCCCGCCTTTCTCCTTAATGCTTACCATTCGCAAATACCTATTAAATATGAAGACGAAGGTTAAAATAATGTGAAAATTGTTTTAGATTTATTAAATTTTATTTTGACGTTCTGCATTTTTAATGCCTTGATACCAAATTTTACTTTTCATCAGTGTCGATAATTTTTAAGGGATTTCCACCACTGTTTTTCCCAAAACCTTAACTTCAGTAATGAACTAATCAGTGAATCTCTGCAGAATAATTTTCAAATTTTTCGTTCTAATTTCCTTTTGCTTATGTCAAAGCGTTATATTGCAGTTCAAAACAGTGAAATCCTTCCATCGTTAAACGGCCCTGAAGACATGACGAAATGTACTGAAAGAGTTGACCAGTGAGGTGTAGCTATAAATGTCGAAACAGAATAGATATAGAATGTGTATTAATAATTCCAGGCTAGCTGCCTGTCTTTCAGTGAAAGAAATCCCTCATCAGAGATGCTATTTAAATACGTCTTAGGAGTTGCCAATATGTTACGAGGAAGTCACAACTGGTAGACAGTTTCAAGGCGATACTTTGTAACGTGAGTGGGCATCAATACAAATCAGACGGAATTAAGTTAGTACGGTTAATGGGAAAGATTTGTGATTTTAATTCAATCATTCCTTCATAGGCGGCAATGTGTAATTTGGAACATTTCATAACGAAGGAATCATGTACCTCTGTTTCTTGACTGACGTACACAAGCTTTCTTTGTTTCTTTTTTTTTTAATGTTCAATTACGGTACCTGCTATAGTTACTGAAAAACGTGCTACAGTACTTTTCATTACTTTGTATCCTCGAACGCCTTGTATCATGAGGAATGGGAATGAAGGAAAAATAAACTCTGTAAATTGTCTTCCCCAGCTGCAGCATTTAAAACTGGAATTTTTTTCAGTTTTCCATTTTTTGGTATCTTGCTTTATCGCATAATGCTGCTCATGACTGTTGTATGCTTTCGCCCATGAAAAAAAAAAAAAAAAAAAACTGCTGTGCTTTTTATTTGCATGCATATTATTACATAGGAGGAGAATAAATTAGGAAGAGTCATAAACTTTGCATTTGGTTTCTCCTTCCATCTGTCTCGACACCCCATTTTTATTTTCTGACTTTTTCTCATTACTTTTAGTATTTGGCACCGAGTATGACCATAATGTTGCTAAAATTGCTTCATTTAAAGTAATCAAACATATAGACATATTATATCTGGAGTATACGTTTACATGTATCTTGAAAAAATACATAATTACTCTACCACATTTCATAACAATGGGCGGACGTAATGAAGGTTAAACGAAATAAATCACGTGGCTCTTTAAGAGACGTTATCATTTATAATACTGTGTCTTTTATTTTGATAGGTATAAATTCATAAATCTTAAAGAAATAAATAGCAAATTAAAAAAAATCTGCTGAAGATTTCTTCTGAAACAACCGAGCAAACGTAGCTTCTAATGTACTAACGAGCATAAGGTAAGTTCATAAAAATGTCTAAACATAAGATAGTTAAAACTAAATATTTCGATTTCGTACTAACTTATATTTGCTAACATACGGTAATCATGTATTCAGGTATTAAAACGTTTTCCATTTTTGGAATAAAATATTCGGGCATAAAGTATGATTTTAAAGCTTAAATTAAATACTATTATAAGGGAATTACATTATAGATTTAAGTAAACTATAAAATAAAGATTTAAATAATTAGGGCTGCGTTTAATACTTTTGAATCTGAGACTGTTAAGTCGTTTTAATTCGGAAGATAAATTAAAAGTTATGTGTCATATCAAAGCAAAGCAGTCCGGAAAATGCCTGTTTCCCAAAGTGGCCTGAGAATAAATAAAACTCATATCGTAGAAGGCATCACTTGTTAAGTCAAGTAGAATATAAATGCATATCAACTCAAGGTAATCTAAAATAAACGTTCAAATATTTTGGAAGACTTTCATTAGAAACATTGATAATGCCAAATCTGGGCAATTTTGTTTTGATATCTTAGCTTTTAGCACGATACATGATTGTAGGAGATTCAATTTACTTTCCCGAACACGCACTAATCTACATAATTGAAACACTAAAGAAAATCTTTCCTTCTATTCAGAAATATTTATATTCTCATTAATACTACATCTGGTTTTATATTTCGCCTATCTAGTCAGTTCAGTTCTCACTAGACGAGATTTAATTTCACGTCCCCGACGAAATTAGGAATTTTCATCTGAACAACAAAGAAATCCGGTTACACGAAAAGCACACCAAATGTCACTCTCATAAACATTCCAGCATTTTCTTAATTACCTGCTGTTGTTCGGCTGTTCATTTATAGGGCCTTTAATTGCCGGGATTAATTATAGAAAATACTGATCTGCTAAACAGCAATCCTTTTATTGAATTCCTAAGGGATAATTTTCTCATTTAATGAGGCATCTCTTGCAACTTGTTGAATGCCGGAGAAAAGTCCTTTTCTCCGGGCTTCGTTGCCGTGGCAACGCAAAGAGAAGATGCCATCTTGACAATTCAAGACTACTGAAACAGACTGCACTTATCTCTTTGCATGGTTTCGACTGCATTTTGTTGCGGGATAGGCAATTTAATATTTTTAATGAAATCGAGCAGGTGGTTCTTTCAACGACTGAATGAGATTAAATGCTTTTTTTTTTTATATTTTGTGAGCAAATTGGAAATTTTAATTCAAGCAGCAACAAAAAAATATAAATTTTATGTTATTTGAGTTTAGCACAAACGTTAATTTCATTGAAAAAAATCAAATATTTGTGTAGTACTTAAAATCAAATCTCTTAAGCCGAATCTAGAATAATGCAGCTCCGTCCTTATCATCTTGGGGTTTAAAACCTGGGACTATTTTAATTACATTATTACATTTTAGGATCTTCATCTTTAAAGGTATCATTATTTATATTAGGATTTTGCATCATTTGTAACTGAATAAATTTTTACGAGGTATGACACAACTGCGTCACATATAATGAAGAAATTCAATAAATACAAATAAGATTTCGGGATTTGTTCCAAAATAAAAGTGCTATGTCCGAAACAACAGCTCATCATTTACCTTATACAAAGTTTTTGCATTAGAAATGTATCTTGCGCAGATTTTCTGATAATGTTGGATTACCACTCATTTATCATCTACTCTCCTTGACAGCCCTCAGGGGCTCACTCTTTGTTAGTACAGGGGTAGCAATCCCGAGGTATTCAGGCCATTCCAAGATCCGTTTTGGTGAAAATGGAGAACACTATCCTGGAGCCCTAGTGTCTTTCCACTTTCATTTCAATGACTCAGACTATCTGCCTTTCCGGATACTTCTTTTACTGCGACACGATGAAAGGTTACAGCGCCATTGAATCTAGTCACCGAAATACAATTTTATTTCTTGATTATTATCACAAGTAACAATTTTAGACAAAACTCCTTTTGCTTAAAAGAATTTGACAGATTATTTCCCTGCTCTGGGTAAAGTCTAAATTTTCAATTTTTTCATCCAGTTTTTACGTATTGGGAAAGAGATATGACTAATAAAAAATGCCCGCTCAAAATGTGGCGGTAAAAGGCTACCAGCCGACATATTTCGTTTGGCGACGGTTGCATAATTTTTGGTGACTTTATCGCCTGCGCCGGCGAAACGGAAAATACCTTAATATACATATAACAACACAAACAACATGTTACAACAGCATACAAGTAAAATGATATAAAGTGACAGAAAACAAAAAGCAGATGGATCATGAAGGGGGTGAGGAAGACTCACACAGAGACAATACGTTTAGAAAGGGGTAGCCTAAAAATGATAATTAGGAGAAAGGGCAATACAAGGGAAAAAAAGCACGAAAAAAGCAAATGAATACATTAATCAGTCTAAATGTGTAAGAATTCCAGGTCGTCTTCTGTTACCTGCAGGATTAGGATCATAATTTAGCATTGTAACTGTTGTACTAATTGTAATTTAGCATTGAGGTTGTTAACCCTGGAAATTTGCTTTTAATTTTTACAATAAATACAGTAAGAAGCCCGAAGAGCTTGGCATAAAATCATCCAATCTCTTCGTGAATAGTACTGTAAAACCAACGATCACGAGCAATTTGGCGTAGCGTAATGTTTTGACTGATTTGTAGTCTCTGAAACGTAGTTTTACATACAGAACCCCAGACGGGACAGGCATAAATAACAAAAGTGCGCAACATGGCTTTACAGATGAGTAACTTCTTGTCGAGGGATAAAATCGAGTTCCAGCGAATTAAGCGGTGAAGAGTACCTTTATACTTCCGGAACTTAGAGATTACGTGTGTAATTTTGGACTTTCATGTTAATCTTTGTTTAAGTATAACACCAAGAAAGATTACTTGCTTGGACCACGGGAGAGCAGTACTATACAAAGAAATATGAGTGATGATAGATCTTCGGTTCGAAAACATGACCACCGCAGTTTTTTCGACGTTGATTTTTGATTTTCAGCTCTGGAGCCAGGACTCCAGTGCATGTACTATATAACTTTGCAGTGCATATTTAACTGAATCCAGAGATGCGTTTCGTGCCAGGCTCGCAGTATCATTTGCATACTGGGTGAGTGTTGTGTTGGGAGTGCGGGGTAATAGTCGTAATAGTTGAGCCCACTGAGCACTTGTGGAGCGAGGTTCCGTGGGTGGCGTCGGACTTTGTCAGTTTTACCCCAGACATGCGGGTGGAGGAGGTGCATTTTTTCGTCACGTCGAAGGAACATCACTCTGGCAGAGAGCGGAGCGAGATTGAATTATTGCTTCGAAGTCGTTCCACGCTTTCGGGTTTTTGCGGTGGCTTTGCTCGCAGCAATATCTGTGGCCAAAAATCAGAAGTATGGTACGAGAGACCGCGTTAGCCCTCAAGAATAAACCTGCGTCTGTTTTATTCGAGTGTTCGACTGCGCGGACGCCGCAAGAGAAAATCTGTACACATGGATCGATATTTTTTAAACTTATAATCTTTTGATTCCTACATTACAGTATGCAGTTGCTATCTATGCAG